TTAGTTGACCCAATTGTAAGAAATTCGCGACTTCTGTGGGAGTCAAACCCACACAACAGGGAAGGCTTTTTGCGCAGTTAATGTTCTACCATTGAGTTACGATGCTCACCGTGAGCCATACCTTCAAGCACACATGGGATGATTTACCCGCCCAACCTACTGCTCGTATAGAATCCATCATCACGGATACAGTAAGCTGACTGTCTACGCGCGATTTCCTAAGCAGTCATCTAGGATCCGCCGGAATGACTACTAGGCTCACTTAATTATTAGGAGGGTTTGGCAGATTTGAATTATTCAGTTGACCAAAGTGTGAAAAATTCGCGGCCTCGGCAGGAGCCGAACCCACACGGCAGGGAAGGCTTTTTGAGCAGCCAACGGTCTAATATTGAGCTACGAAACTCACCGTGAGCCATTAATTTAATCAACACTTCCACCGAAGCCGTGAATTTTTCACAATTGATTCAACTGAATTATTCATCTCTGCCAAGCCCTCCTAATATGTAATTTAAACCCTCGTCAGAAGACCACACAGCGATACTTTTCTGCAACCAGTTAAAAACGATCATGCTACATGCGACTAGAATGTCTGCGAGTGAGATTAAATCAAAGGAATAGCAGCATCGTGAAACAACCGTTCCCTCTGCTTCCAACCCATTAGCTTTTATCGTCTAAATAACACAGTCTTCCCCATTGACTTCAATTTACAGTGGACTGACTGACGTTGCAGGCAGAACTTGACCGTTTTAGAGATCAAAGTAGCTCACGGTAAACCCATTTGAGTGTTAGCTATCATGACTTTAAATTAACGTCAAATGGGTGTGTTGTGACCCCACCGAGTGCAGGACGCAGTTTCAGATTTTTAATTTCCCTAGAAATTTTTTAACGTGATGAAGATCAGTATATTTAAGGTCTATAGGCATAGGCCGAAATTTGATGTAAATATTTGGGCCGACCTCTGTCAGATACTGTGGGATAACTGGATAATATTTACAAACTGCCAACAGGCAGATTGTAGTAGAGCTATGGAATTATTTACCATACTGGCAGTACAAGAAATGAAAAAGCTGAAATTTCGAAACCGGTGTATCAACCAGAAGGCGTATAGGAATGCCGGGAGACCCACTGATGGGCTGGACCCCTCGCAGTTGTATCAAGCAGCGGCAGAATGCCAATACAAGCGAATATGCGAGTTCCGGGAAGCAGTTGAGAAGAAGGAGAGGCAACCACTGGAACAAGAGTTTTATTTTCTTGACGTTTCGGCTTCCGTCGGAAATCCTTAATCATAAGTAATGGTAGGTTAGTCTGAGTCATGTACAGATAGGGATGAAACATGCACAGATTGCACGGTATTTATAGTTCGTGGCGGTCATCCGCGTGCGTATAATAATTATCCACTTCTGTAGCCACCGCTAAGGGTCTCAATTGGTGCGGTGATGGCTTGACACTTCGCGTTCGACTCATTTATTTCCAGCAATTAATTAGGCGAACGGTGGCTACATGAGCGGATAATTATAGTACGCACACGGATGAGCACTACGAACTATAAATACCGTGCAAT